AGGGAGAAGGTAAGGAGAGAGAACAAAATGCCATGGATGGATGAGTACTGGGGAGTCCTTCAACCAGAGCCAATCTACTCGAGGACTCAAAGGTGGTACGTCATCGATGACTTCAAGGAGGGTGAGGAGATTTGCTGCGACTACTGCTTGGTCTGCAATCCCATAGACTCCGATCAGAAAGATGATTGCTATGCAGAATGCATCAACGGAGCAGCAAATAGGTGCCGTGGGATGTCCGCAGAAGACTACGTCCAGAAGCGGTTCCATGCATGTGCTCGAATGCTTTACAACTTCGGCATGGGGCAGACGGTATCATCTCCCACCGTCATGATCTCTGAGATGAACCCGCACGTAGACTTGATGAAGTTCTTACACGAAGCGATGGTCATCTTTAACGGGAACCCAGGTTTCCAAAAGGAGATCTCGTTCTTCGGGGGGATCAGGTTGTCATCAACAATGACGGAGAATTTCTTCAAAACGAGGAGAGGGCCCAGCATCCATGTGGAAAAGCAGATAGTTGGCAGCGCCAAGTACTACCAGGGATCCTATGACCTTGGCAACGTGTGCTACACCAAATACCTCAAGACCATACTGGAGCCCGAGGTATTCCGAAATATGTTCGGAGATGATCCCTCGGAGGAACGGGTAGGTGATATGGTGGAAGCGCTGCTGGGCATGTTAGAAGTTGCTCAACTTTTCAAACACCTGTTCGTAGGATGGGGTGACATTGAGGCTTTGAGGACGGGATTAGAAGAATCCATCAAGCGCGTCACTGCATCGCTGTACGACAGGACAACGTATGAGAACCGAAAGCGATCGATGATCAGAACATTGGACCCGCACTCTGAAGAGGCGGCAAACGTGGCACTGATTCTCGTTCGCATGAGGACCATGCCGCCTCCTGAATTCGATATCGACCACTTCTTCGAAATTGGGAAAGAACCAGAACAGGGAGCAGAAGCTACTGACCAGCCCGAGGCCGAAGGTGTCGATATGGAAACTGAGGGTGAGCAGGAGAAGGAGGAGCAAGACGTTGACATGTCCGATCCGAAGACATCAATACTGCAAGCCATCGACGAATTCGAGAAGAAGATCGGGCAAGCAGAATTCTGTATCCACTGCATGAAGTCGGAACACACAACTCTCAATTGCGAGAAGATCCCTTCATCTTCACCCACAGTCACCTCAGTGCTGAGCGATTGGAAAAAGAGAGTGAAGGGAGAGGTTGCACCCGACGATGTACCATCCGGACATCCAGCAGAGGAGCCTAAGAAGAAGAAGCAGAGAGCATCGCCTACTCCAGATAGGAAGGTCGACAGCGAGTTCAGGCGAAAAGAAATGTTGAAAGCAAGAGTCGTGACAATGTTTGACCATGACGGGTTCACCTTGATTGAAAGTGCTGATGGAGTCGAAGGAGGGACACATTCCTACAACGGGCGGAAGCTGGCGGAAGTAGGCCCTAGGGATATGAAGGTGGTGTACGAATTTGTAGAGAAGGCATTCGTGCACTCCAGTTCCCTCAAACCAAAGGCATGTCATCAATTCTATCCCCTACCGACACGGAGGGAGAAGGGATACAAGCCGATCGACCCCATGACAATGATCGGGAAAGTTGAGCTAGTACCGATCAATGGAGTCACTTTCGCTGCACAGAACTCCGACTACGGCAACCACAAGTATCCGACTCCAGACTGTCGAGTACCAGAGTACAGCCAAGCGAGCCAGGCCCTGAGTCGCCGATTGGGAGCGAAGTTGAGACATCGAATTGGACGCCAGTTCAGGACAGGAGGAAGACTCACTCCAATCAAATGCGATGAAGGCGCGTGGGTGTCATGGGAAGACCTATTAGGTGATAACGCGGTTTGGGAAGACGGTTATCACTATGGCAACATTGACATCGTGACCAAGAAGGCGCGTTTGGAAAAGTACCTCGACCAGAACTACGAGTGTTTCCGCATAACCAAGAGGATCAGATTCCAAATGTTGGCAGTTCGCGTTCACCCTGATGAACTCAATGATCCTGATGACCCGATGGAGAAGGAATGGATTGACGAGCTCAAGGGCATGGGAATCACCAAAGCAAGACTCCACAATAGCGATGGATGGTGCTTTCCCGTGGCCGTAAGAGCAACCTCAGCACACTCGTCGGACGGCGGAGGTTATGACGTCACCATCAACATCGACCACATTGGATCGAGAATGACCAACGACATGGCCCTATCCATGGTGACTGCATTTCACGCTACCAACCTTGGAGCGCTGACTTCAATCATGCGACGGGGGCTGGTGCCAGGAGGTCTCGGTTCATCGGGAAGGGACTCTATCCACTTCACATGTTTTCCGCCATGGGCCTGGGAACAGGGCTACAAGGGAAAACCTTGGCTGGGTCGTAAGGTCGCATTGAGTGATCGCCCAGTGGTTCTCTACATTCCGGTGTGGAAGCTGCAGGAGTACGGGCTTCTCATCTCAGCGACTGGATCTCTATTGGTTGAGGATGTCGTTCCCTTCGATGAGGTTAAAGGGGCATGGTTGCAATGCGACAATGCAGAACCTGGACGGCCTGAGGAGATCGAATGGATCAGGTTACTCAATAGAGAACCCGACCCTGGAAGCTACCTTGTTCTGGAGTCCAAATACGGAAACCCGATCATGACTCCACGCTATCAAAAAACTTGAGAGTTTGGCGATTGAGGTCCAGGACGATACCTACTCCGAGGACGACGCCAAAATCTCAAAGCTGTTGGGCACGATCGAGGAGAGTGGTATCTACCCAGAATATGATAGCACTGAGTGGCAGGAGATCTTTGAGGAGATCGTATATCGCCGAGCAATGAAAGACTACGATTCAAGACCGTGTCCTAACTGCCTTGGCGAAGTCGACGTGCGATTGACGATATGTCCGCATTGCGTAGCGGTTTTGATCGCGAATGGGAAGCTCACGCATGTGGTACCCAAGGAGACAAGGGACCGCAATCAACGATCACCTCCGAGAGACGTGCCAGCCAGTTCTTCCGGGGAAGCGACTTCTTCTGCAGGTGCAAACATCGATGAAGTCATCAAGAAAGCACGCAAGACAGCCGAAGAAGTCATTGACGTCGAGGAATCCGAAGGAGAGGAAGACGAGGAAGTTCCTATCATTTTGAAGGAACGACCGGACGAAGCTGAAGGCGAACCCGAGTATCGGGAGGTCCCTCAAGATGGGTACGGGAATGAACTTCCACAGCCTTTCCCCTTCGCAATTGACGAATTGCCACAGGAAGCCGCGATCCCCATCGACCACAACTTTGCAGTCACACAGCAATTTGATCTGAGGTTGATGAAGTTGATCAAGAGCTTGGCCAACGCAACGTTCGACATCAATTGCTTTGAGAATCGTGAAGACGTACTGCGAAAGTTCGACGATGGGCAGCGGCATGACACTCCATTCAATAGATGGCCATTAGTACCGAATGATCCGGATACTGGGTTTCCAAGACGCCTTCAGAGAGCCGAGGTCGTGGGCATGAGCAAATGGACCAACGACACGTATGCAACAGAAGCGTGGCAGATCTATGAATTTCACGCCCACGTTATTCACCCGATGATGATCACTGCAATCCGCTGCGGGCTTAGCCACAAGTATCTCAAAGAGGTAGGCAGCACTCGGCGTAACATGAGTGATCCAAAGGCTCGAAGATCTGAGACCCAGGAAGAGATCATCGAGAAGCTGGCATTCATCTCAAATTTTATCAGACGATTGATTAGGAAGACTTTCGGAGCGAGCCGATACAGCTACTACCAGAAGCCAGATGACGAAGGTGCCGCTCCATACAAATTCATTGACATTAGCCCCGCCATCAAATCGGAGCGGAAGAATGTCACAAAGGAGATCCTCGTTGCATGCCGCTACTATGGCATAGAGGTATCCGATATCCAAACACAGAAATTGAAGCTCTTTGAGGAGCAGATCCGAAGGGGAAACCCAAGGAACGTTGAGCTCATCAAGGACTACATTGGTTTTGTCGGAGCTGACTACATGCGACAACTCACGAATGGTTGAGCATTGGGGTCACGCCGACATACTACTTCCAGTACTTCACGTACTGAGGGATCTTGGGTAATTCATGATGACCATTTTGGCATCATGGGAGTGAGATAGGATTGTGTTTCACACCGTCGGTAATCGCATGATACCACAGGTAGATGCACGTTTTCCATTTGTAGCTCCGTTACCTGTTTGATCCATCTTTCAAGCGAATGCAAAATCGCTTGCCAATTCAGTTTTATAGGACATACTGATTGACCTCCAATGCACTTTTGAGAACATGATCGTTCTCCGGTTTTTTTACATCCACTCATCTCCCTTCCCCGTCGAAGCACGGATGTGGGGGGGTGTCAATAGAGATGAGGTCTCAGTATAGCTTCTATATAGGTACTTGCCATACACATTTGGCTCAAGTGCCCAACCAGGCGAAAAGGAGCTTTAGCGCGCGAGCTTCATGTTGAACTAAGGGCTTGAACGGGGCCAGGGCACGCTTTCCATCCGTTCGCATATGTATATATGATTCATTAAACTGTTGTAAAAAATCAATTGACATGACACATGTATGATTATATGTATAATTTGAGTGTTGGAAGGTAAAGGGTTTGCTTAATTAATAAATTTGTTATATGTTTGATGTCAAGATTTCCAGACTCATTTTAGATAGTTTTTCAACACACTCAGTTGTTTGACAGTAACTTGTTTAACATGTTTGAAGCTTAATGACTAAACCATTTTATATCGCCCATGATTGAATTACATGAGCGTGCTTAACCTCTATTCTTAGTAGCAACGCGGATAGTGACAGCAGAAAAAAAAAAACTAGACTCCATGTTTGCTACATATATATACCTACATTGACCCCAGGTCAACCACCCCAGGTACATGTCATGCCTGGAGTGATTGGCCTGCCCACCCCACCTGCAGCCTAGCGCCGCACCTCGAGTGCATCATTCGATAGCTTCGTCCACATCGCCAGGATGCGGTGGGCTTAGTGCAAGTCTTCGAGTTGCCGGGCCTGAGCACAGAGCAGTCGGTCGGTGGTAGGTGGTAGCACAGAGCGGTGTTCCACCTGGAGCTTCCGGGGTTGGTCAAATGATTTCTTCGGGTTGAACCCCACACCATCGGACTGGAAGAGTTCTTTTTGCAGAATCCGCGTCAAGGCCTGGCCTCGGGCCATTTCTGGAAGTCAGGAATAGGCCAGTGCCAGAAGAGATTCTGGGAGTCACGGCGTTGGAAGCGACATGGGGTCGCTCTTGAAGATCCTGTGAAGATGGAAACACAATGCGAAGCGAGAGGTTCAGCGACACGAGAGGTTCATGTAAGAGATCTTGATATCGCAACCCTACCCATTTGGATTGTAGAATAATCTCTTAGTTTTTTTGGATCTAAGCTTCGACATGACCACACTTTCAAGAACTCCGCATGGTGCCAGTACGCCCTTTGGCAGTTTCCAGTTGCCATCAATGAGGAGATTCCTGAACAGTCAAGGGAGGCGCCAGGAAACTTGTGAATCCTGAACAGCTACGCAGGTTTGTGAAGCAGTCTGTCGACCTTTCTTTTAAGATTAAAAGGTGTTTGACTTAAGGAGGTTAAACCTGTGGGGCTCCCCACAGGTTTATCAACTATAAGTGCCCCACAGTATCCCGCAGTCTCATGGTCGCAGTCCCAATATGTCCCAATTATATTGAGAGCTTTTTTGGTGTAGGAACATCCGTTGTCCAACCTCTTACAGGCAGTCTCCATGTTTCTTGTCTCGCACCCCAGCTATTCCAAATAGCCAACAGTCTCAGGCAAGATGCCTTGAGTGCACGAGAAGCCGCACAGCAACGGCTCATGGATGCTTGGGCTTGTAGCTTCAGCAACGGTTTCGAGGGCGGTTGGCAATTTGTCCATGTCCATCTTTGCCTGCTCGTGACGAGTAGTGATCTCACTTTGGCATCTTGCCAGGCCGGGTGGTTGGCCCTCAGAATCGAATTGAAGGCGGCTCAGGTGATCTCAGTAACTTGCTATCTCCGCATGACCCATGTATTTCCGGCCACATGGCCGGTGATCGAACCAGGCTCTTCCTCGAACGGATCCGTCTTTGGGGACGCATCGGATCGGCGAGCTCACCCAGGACATGAGCTCACTGACCCACATGAGCGGCCCAACCACGCAGGTCATCGACCGCAGGTCATCGACTGAGAGGTGCATCGCTGATCGATCGTGATCGATCATCATCCCGGAGCGGTCCCTCCCCATGTACAGCTTTCATTAGGTGGAAATTAGTCCTACCCAGAGGCGACCCTGGACCCGAACCAACTGCTACATGTTGGTTCGGTCCAAAACCCTAGTTGTGAGGGTCAAAACCCTAGCGAACTGAGGGTCCAATGAGCCTTTGGGTATTACTAAATCTAGTGGACACTCCATGGGACTGGAATATTTACACATTGACGCCGAGAAATCAACCACCCCAATTGATCGGTATACATATATGACAGTCCCTAGGGTCCGTGTTTGGGATATCACAGAGAAGGAGCGCCCCCACATGTCACATGCCGATGCAGCTTGGACAAGTTGCAACATGTTGCAACCGCTCGGGCTTACTGCTGGTCGTCCAATTGTCATGGTCGTCCAATTGTCATAAATGGGACATTCCATACCTACGGTTACCTACTGTAGTAAGTGTTTGGGCATGTATGGCCTATCTACTGATCAGTTGTGGGGTCCATATACATTTAATGTATTAAAGTCCCGAAAGGATGGTTGGATATGCTCTGGTTTTGCTTTTCGTGCCAAACTCCAGCAAACTCAAGCTCTCACCTGTTCGTCCTTCATTCCAGGCACGTACTATATCCGACTGCAGTCACACATAAAAAAGCAACGCATTTCTGGCCCGTTTTTCCATCCCTTCGAAACTCAGGAGGAGATGCAGCTTCAGATGGCTCTCTGGGCCTCCGCCTCCGCCGCCAACGCCGCAGCCGCGGAGGCCGCGGCGGAGGCGAAGCCGCCGCCGCCGGCGCTGGAAGTGGCCGCGGCGGAGCCAGAGTTGTCACAGACGCAGGCGAGGGAGGGAAGGAGTTCGTTTTGCCACCATGAATGGGGCCATCATGGGCCATCTGAACATGGGGGTGGCACCTTTTCCAGTCCCATGGGATCAAAATGGGACAACATCTAGCTCAGCAGTTCGAGTTGGGTGCTATCCATGTTCTCCACTCGTTGGATGGGACGAGGTACCCTACCCTGAGATGTGACTGCAGTCACCCAGTCAGACTGGCAGATCGACCCCAAACCGATCGACACCCGAACCGCGCCTCGAGGCGCTGCTGCTGGCGGCCGTCGAGGTCGGTGACGCCGCGCAGGTGCTGGCGGCGCTGGAGGAGGCAAAGCGACTGCGGACGATGGTGAGCGTGGCGCTGGTGGAGGCCGCCAAGGGATTGCAGGAAGCGGAAGAGCCTTGGTTTTTGGTTCGGAAGAGTTTGTTTTCTTTCTCGTTTACGAGAGAATGGATGTTTTGGGTTGAGCGAAAATGGATGTTTCGGGGTGAGCTCGTAGAGTTTGTTTGGGGGGGCGGTTGGTTTTGGTGGATTTGGGTGGTTTGGGGCATCGGCATTTGGGGTGAGGAGTCGTTTTTTTGGGCGATTGGTGAGGTGGATTCATCGCGAGGATGAGGGATAGTGTGGGGAGCAGGAATTCTTTGGGGTGGGTAGGTGTTTTTCAGCTCTGCTTTTCCTGGAGTTTTGTTGGAGCTGATGCAAACATGGCGGTTCGGTTGCCTAGTGCCTTCGTGCCATAACTGGATTGTGTGGATTTTCTGACACCTTTTTGCGAAAGGCATTGGTTTTCAGCTTGGAACATCAACATTTGCACATGTGATGTGCTCGATGACAAAAAACTACAACTGTATCAAACTCAAACACAATCAAGTGCCAATGTAGAGGCAAACATGGCAAACATATATAAACGTGTAGCATCCAAGTTTATTCACTCAGAATTCACTCGGATTTTGCCGGAGTTTGCCAATTCCTTTGGTAGATGCCCTCGTCCAGAATCGTTTCTGCATGTTTCGGCCACAGCAACAGATTTGGCCTTTGTCTTTGCCACTGATTATGGCAAACAGTTTTGTAGAGCCAAGTAAATACCTGATATAGACCCCTTAACAAGGGGACTACACATTGAAGAAACTAAATCACTTACCAACCAGTGGAAGGATCCAAGAAGTGAATATATCAAAGCATAGGACTTTCCCAACCGACCAAGTCTACTTTCGACCTGTGTGGAGTGAAGTGGAAGGCTTCACGAGCTTTCTCACTAAAGAATGGACCAGAGACAGCGTTAGTTGAACAATGCTTTCTCGGGTTTCTTCCTCCAATTCCACACCCAGACACTCCATTTATGACATGTTTACCGATCAGTTGGGGTGGTAAAGAAGCCAATGTATTTTTTCCATACACGGAGTGTTTGGGAAACGCTACCAGTTTGGAGATCGCCAGTTTTGACAAAGCATGGACGAAAGTACTCAGTGCTCGACTTCCGCCGGGACTGTCACTTAGGAGGCCATGCTCACGTGGCGCTGTTTGCGGAGTGCGCTCATGGAGAACGATCGACATGAAGTGGAGGCCGATCAAATGCAGCGGGCGCATCCACCGCATGTGGAGAGTCGTACAATAACAGAGGGCCTAGCAAAAAGGACTCATAGGACTCCGATCTTTTCCTCACCTTCACTGTTTTTAAACGTCCCGTTTTCTTTTTTCGTGTTTGATATGAATAGTGCACTTTGTTTGCATGCTGTCACTTTGGATGAAACTGGGGTCTCCTGCCTTTTCCCTGCTCCTACCTCCTCCCTCCTTATTGGCTTGCTCGTTTTTTTTTTGGGGCATGGTTTTGGAATAGCTCAACTTAGAGGCAACCCAACTTGGAATGTGGGGAGTAGGCATTCACCTGATGTTGCTTTTAATATTGTTTGCCTTATGGTTAAATCACATTCTGAGAAATATGTGTTCTCCCGATTCCCGGACAGCAAATCCAGTGCACAAATTCTTGGAATCCATCAGTGCGACTGCTGATTTTTGCACCTGTGAGACTGGCCGAATCAGCAGGGAATCTTGCTTAGTTGATATCCTTCAAAGCAAACACCGTGGGTTCCTAGCATACCTGTAATGAGGAGACCAGTTTCCGTTGCAAACACAAGGTTCTCCGGCAATTCTTTGAGCTGTTAGACTATACTATAGCCTTTTAGGGCTACCCCGTAAGCCACATACATCCACACACCATACTTGTTTCCAGCCAGGTTATTTGCACGGCCAGGGTGGGAGCTTCGGTTGAGCGTCGCCGGGCGAAAACACTCACAGGAGGGGTCTAGTCTGAAAAGCTACCACCCACATTGGAGCAGACAACGACCATCCATAAAACTGGCCTCTTGACGGAGATTCTAGGGCAGGGGGTGGATGAATCCGCGGCATAGATCTTCCGGTCCCACGGATGGTTTAGGGTTGAACATTCGTTCCTTGCTTTGTTCATTCCAGGACGCACCTCAAACACATTCGTCCACGCGCCGTCGCGCCGTCCCGCCACCCGGGACCCGGGAGGAGTCGGTGGTGTTCGGCCGACGTAGGTGTGGATGGAACATGCCACGAGCCTGGGCAACTCGGAGGAGGACGACCGGAGGAAATGCGCACAGACCGAGGTTTGACGGATTGGACTAAGAGGAACATGGACTACTGTAGATCGATAGACCTGCTTGCAGAGATAGACCTGGTTGTCCATATGTTTTTTGTTTTACTCTTGGTGCATGTCCCCTTCTTTTTGGTCCATTTTGTCCCTGCAATTTCTTGGAAGATGTTGTGCTTATCCCACGTTCCTAAGCAACTCCAATATAAATCCCAGGTTCTTGAAGCTAGCTCTTGAGCGCCGCTGACTGAGTAGTGAAGGACTTCAGCAACCTTCAGCACATGACATTTGATGGTTCCCAAGTGTTTTGGGACGGTTCGATATGTTGGCAGTGTTCAAGTGTGTCAGTGTTCATGCAGTCAACGGAATGAGCTAAAACCCGCTTCAGTAAGGACGCACTACTAAATACCTTTGGATTAGTCTTTCCCCGAGTTCAACCAGAGAATGGCAAGCTGTCATACCAAATGACATGCATCTGCATGCGCGAATCCTGAGCGGGGGTGGCTTTAGGCGGAACCTGGTTGAAGGGTGAAATGGCACAACAGTTGTGTTAGTGATACCCTAGAAGTCCAGTTCGACTATATTTTGACCGGCTGAAGTAAAGGAAGTTCCCTTTCAGTTCCCCGTTCGTCAGACCATTCTTTTTATAGTCTGACCGACTCCCAGGGGATAGTGACATCTTTCATCTCTTCACGATGTTCATGGCTTCACAGCTTCCACAAGGGGTTCGGCTGGTTCCCACTTCGCCCAGGTTGGCTGGTCACCACCGGTTTCCTCGATGTGCCAACCAGTTTCCTCGGGCTTTCCATCGAAGTGTTCTGCAGGGAAAATCAGAGCAACTTCGTGTGGTCCCCCAAAAAATCAGACAGTTAAGCAGTTCCAAGAAGGCAAAACAAAAATATACGAGAACAACAACTTGTCCTATATATATATGGATTGTAAGTAGATCTGTATATTAGATGGTTCCCTCTTTTTCTCTTTCAACATCCTGAATCAATTCTATGTTGATGTATGTATGTTGATGCATGTTTTTTGTTCAAACACACACACACACACACACCCTGTTCGGGATCCGTGGGCGACCTTCTCCGGTTCGGTGGCACCACCGGTAAGGCTTGAGGGTGCCGAAGGCGGTGGACAAGGCACTCGAGGCCTTGCGTGCCTCGGTTGCCAGCAGCAAGACGTGCCGAGCGTGACCATGGGTGCAGACATTGACATCGAGTTTTGTGGCGATTTTTTGATGATTTTTTGTATGTTCCCTATGGGTTGCAAATCCCCTAACTTGGGGAATATAAATATATGTTTAACAATGTTTAAATTGTGTGTTCAAGGTTCCTGGACAGCAAACCCAAGCATTGGTGACACGGCATGACTTCTTTGGGACTGGGAGAGATAGAGAGATGCCGGATGGGTTCCTGGCCTAGCTCTGTTCAATACCGAATGTTCACAGAGTTTCCGACATCGAGTCCAACGATTTCAGGCCAAAAGAATCCATCAGTCACCCTCACCTGAACAATACGACTTCAACCGGCCAGGGCCACGGGATGCCACAGGGCTCCGAGCGGGGTCCTTTTTTCAGCAGGTCGGGGTCGGGGCGTGGACGAGTCCGTATTGCTTGTCCGGCTCGCTCCCCCGCACGCCCATGATCGCGCATGATTTCCCCTATGACTTGAGGGGAAATGGGTTGATTAGGGCTCACTTGCATTGTTGGCTTTGTGCGCCTTAGGGTGCGTGTGCGAAAGAGCAAGCTGAAAAACCACTGAAGCCATTGTAGCTATGAGGTTGTATAAGGCAATGTCAGGACACCCTACACTCTAGGTTTGTAATTTTGTTCGGTTGGGAATTCTTACAGCGGGGATTCAATAGAGTTGAGAATAGCAGAGGGCAGCGGTGACTAGACAGACTGGTTCAGCAGTTACTTTGGCCAAGTTTGTTGGTTGGTCGCAACTGGTGATGGTCGGACACAAGAAACTCAATATGGGGTGTTTTTGAATAGGGAGACGCCCAGCCAATGGGTTTTAAGGGTCTTACGGTCTTTGGTAGATGATCATACGCTGTTGGTTCAGGGTTCCTTTGTTTGATTCATAAAGATCGATGTGGTCCGTCTCAAACATGTTTTCCGTGGTTGTGCCATGCACTCTGAAACCACTGTAAGTTTGGTTCAAGGCTTAAGCGGCTTAAGGTCATGTTCAAGTAAAGAAAATCATGTGTCGAATCGAAAAGAACAGCTAGCACGTTTTCCGTGTTTACACCATGTTTTCGGGTCCTTGACGCCATGGGTGACGGTCAGCAAAGAGTCTCGGAGAGAGTGGAGAATCGGCCATGTGCTCAATGAGCGAATCGGTGCAGCGATTCGGTGAGGAAGAACTGGACATTCAGGTGGTGGGCCTGAGTGGAGATGCATTCCAGATCCAAGTGCACCAGTCCCTCACTGGCTCTGAGCTTCGAAGAATCATCCAGGATCGACTTCCCCTGAAAGCTGGAGCAAGAGTCGTGGTGATGAAAGGATCTCAGAAGCTTTCACTAACTAAGACTTTGGCTCAAGAAGGGCTGGCGCAAGGAGAACAAACTTCTTTGTCCTACGCCTATGAGATGGCTAACCTGCAGGAGGCATGGAGATGTATCCAAGAATGCTATGTCAACGATGAGTCGATGGCTCTCGAGGGGATACGGCAGCTCCGAGGGCTGCAAGAGACAACTCTGCTCAGGCACCTTGTCACCCTCAAGCACCTTGCCTTTGGTGACAAGTTCAACGCTCGTTTGGAGGGAGTGGTTTGGCCTAGTGGCCTTCAAAGCCTTTCCTTTGGCAGGGAGTTCAACCAGAGCTTGAA